GTGTAAACAGCTGATTAGTGCCTGTCCAGGACGAAGGAGATGTGACAACTAATGGGTATATATTTTATATTCTATATTCTAAATATTCTCGGCTTTTTTTTTTGTTTTGGTTTTTTTTTTTCCAGTACCAGGAATCAAACTCAGGACCTCACACTTACCAGGCATGGGCTATGCCACTGAGCTAAATCCCCAGCCCCTATATTCTAAATATTCTAAAACTGGATCACAGTAATGAATTCACAAATCCTTTACATATTAAAAAAGCATTTAACTATACACTATACAAGGATGACTCATATGGTATATGAACTGTACCACAATAAACCACTTAAAAGTAGAGAATATCATTTGAGTAATATTTCTCTTACTAAGAAAAATATACAATTAAAATTATTTAAAAGACTTCCTCTAATGCTTAAACTTTAAAACTTAAAAGAATAGCAACTCCCTTAGCCTAATTTAAAGAGTCCATAAAGGAACAATTTATTAAATCAGTGCAGAGAACATCAGGTTACTTCCAAAGCAGAAACAAACACTTCCAGATGTAAATGGTAGTTAAGTAAACACAAGTGATTGCAAATCCTGTGAAATTCCAAGAGTGCAAAGGGGAAATGGGCAGAGCAAGAGAAAATAAATATGATGTCAGTACAAAATCTGTATCTTATCAGTCTGCAATAAACAATAATCTCCAAATCTTGAGCCTTCACAGCATACTACACTCTAATTGATACTTTATGATGCCAGTTGAATTAAACAAATATAAATGAAAATTACTAAAGCAACACCCACCATTGATACTTACGAAATACAATTCATCAGGTGCTCAATATGAAATTCTGTCTAGTTATCAGTTATAAAATAATCCAAACTCCCACACACTAATCAAATTGATATATATTTGCCATACTCCTACCCCCCTAAACACACACCTACATTCAAATAATAATTAAAATCAGCATTTGTTTTTCTATTCTCAAATCCCCATTCCAGATGAGAACATGAAGAGTTAGTGGGAACATGTATTCAAGGTCCTGTAATACACTGCTGGCGAGGTGGACACCAACACAGCCCTGCGAAGACAGCCTGGCATATTTCATCAAGCTGAAGACAAGCCTCACAGCTCAGCACACTCTTCTTCTAGGTGTGGTTCCTGAAGAAGTGTTACTCTAAGTATGCTCTAGAATAGCACCAGGCCATGAACTGAGTTTCACAAGCCTTTACAAAACAAACAGAAATTCTGAGTAAAATCACAAGCAATTTGACAGAAAACATTTCCTTTTAGAAACTTCAGACTGTATTTCATGATTTAAATTTCATTTTTCTAATAATTTTAATTGGGTTTTTACCAAAGTATTGATCTACGACAGATTAGAACTAAACAACTAAAGGAACAAACACACCATCCTGAAAAGAACAGTCCTAGAGTACAATACTGTACAAGAATGGTCACTGTAGCAATCTTTTCAGTCAAAGCTGAAAACAACCTAAACAACAAGTAGGGTACAGGACAGTGTTACAAAATAAAAAGATGGTATCTAATTTGCAGTCTAACACAGATGATCCTGACAATTGCTTGCAAATGTAAGATAAAAAAAGTGATACAATGCAGAAGCATACACGTAAGTATACAGTGAAAGCACAGTCATGCACAAAATGATAACAAATCCATATAGAGCTACCTTTGCAGAAAGATGAAGGAGAAACAGGAGAGAACCACACAGTTAACTCTATTTACAATGTACTCTGCATTAAAAAGATATGTCTGTAATCCTAGCACTTGGGAAACTAAGGCAGAAAGATCCTGAGTTCAAGGCACTCCTGGGTGACTCAGTAAATTCAGGGCTAGCCTGAACTACACAGCGAAACCTTATCTCAAAAGAAAGTGTTACAAATAAGAGAAGTGTTAAGATTTTATAAAGCTAGGATGAAGATACACCGAGGCTGGTTACATCACTTTCTAAAACTTGTCTACATGTCAGAAATGTTTCTTTTAAAAATACTGTAGAGACCATTGAGAATAGTTAATGATTTTTCAATAGGTCACTCATGTATAGCTCTATTTATTTTCTTTAGAAGCCACTTTGAAGATACCAAAGTATAGTACAACAACTCTTGATAATCTCCTACCTCTTTTGTCTGTAACTCACTATTATTTGTCTATTTGTTTTCCTGAGAAACTATTTTGTAGACAATAATATGTAAAATGATAACCATTGATAATTTCCTACCATTTTGTCTGTAATTTGCTAAGTCCCCCCTATTATTATGTTATCCTTCTTTTATTCTTTAAAATAAAAAAAAAAAAAGAAAAAACAAAAATACTGTAGAGACTTGATGGTGGAGTAGTGAGCAGCAGAGAAACAGCCTCTCCAAGGTTTGGTGTCCAGACACTGGAACATAACAAAGTGAGGAAGAGAAAGGAAGAAGAGGGAAACGGTCCCCAAGACCAAGAAAGGATCTGAATTGAGAACTGTAACCCACAGGCAGAACAAAGAAAAAGACTTCAACAAAGAAGAAAGAGTGGCAAGCATCACTTTCTCCCTGAGCCCAGAGTCACTGGGTGGGAGGGGCAGCTCAAGTCTGCATACCCACAGTGATTACTGGGGACCCCAGCGGCCTCCACGGAGAGATGCATCGGTGGAACTGAGCAGTGAATGCAGTGGACCGCAGTGGCCAGTGAGTTATTTGAGTTCAGATGTCCCCCACAAGAAGGTAATTGACCAGTAAGCAATCTTGTAGAGGAGCTAACTGAGCTCAGCACTCAGAACAGCTGCGTCCCGGCTCCATCTAGTGACTCCCAGTGACAGCATCAGGGAGTAGTGTTAAAGGAGGTCAGGGAGCCAAATTCAAGCTGACAGGAGGCACACAGATTGCTGCAGGCTAAACAAATCTGGTTCCAGCCTCACAGCTAGAAACCAGCCTGAACTTCCATGGAACTAAAGGTGCAGGCTCGCTGGGATTATCGACTACCCACCCATTAAGCTACCGCTGGCTTGCTGGGATTAATCAATTCAAGTCTAGACTGTGTCTGCCCACACTGTCTACCAGTGACAGCAGAAATATGCCTTGAAGTGTACATACTTTTTTTTACTTTCCTTTTTCTTTTCTCTTTTTGTTTTGGTTTTTTTTGTTTAGTTTTGGTTTTGTCTTTTTGAGACAGGGTCTTGCTATGCAGTTCAGGCTGGACTTGAGTTCACTTTGTAGCCCAGGCTGGTCTCAAACTTGCAACGATCCTCCTGCCTCAGCCTCCCGAGTACTGGGATTACAGGTGTGTGTCACCACGCCTGGCTTCTTTTCTTGTTTTATTTTTTCTTGATTGTTCTTGTTTTTATATGAGTGTGAACACTGTTTCTGGATTTTTTGGTTCTGTTCTGTTCTGTTCTTGCTTGTATTTCTTCCTTCTCTTTTTCCGTCCTGTCTTCTTCATCAAACTTCATCCCAACAGTTGCCTGATCTTCCTTTGTCCTCCAGCCCTGCTTCTAATCTCTTCCTCTTCTATTTCTCTATCTTTCCCCCCAACTCCTTTTAAATTTTCTCCCCTAAAGGTAAAATTGTCAGATTGAGGGCTTGTTTACTGCATACCATTTTCTGGGGTTTTGTTTGTTTGTTTTGTTTTGTTTTGTTTGAGACAGGGTCTTGTTTTATGGCCCAGGCTGGCCTCAAACTCACACAATTCTCCTGCCTCAGCCTCCCAATTGCTGGGATTACAGGTATGCGCCATGTGCCACCACACCCAGCCAAGGGTTCACTTTGGATTTTGTTACTTTAACCACAAATCTAGCTTATATGGTTAAAGGTGGCAAATTAATAGTTACCTCAGTTTGTTGTTTTCTAGGCTGTGTTTGATGCCATAGTTATTGCTGATTGTTCCACTTTAACCAATGTGACATAATTATTCTATTCAGTTGCTTTTCCTCTTATACCAAGATTGAGACTGCCTAAGGGTCATAAAAAATACTACAGACCAGTGCCAAAGAACCAGGGGCTAGGCCAAGTAGGCAGCAACTTCTTATCCTCAATAAACTGAAAAGGTAGGATCTTGCAATGGCTCAGCCAACTACACCTGGAAGACACCTCTGAGTAGTATTCATTTCCTAAGGGTTCTAACAATAAAGCTACTCACCACAGGCAATTTACAAGTATCAACCCAGGAATTAAACTAAAAAAGCACCAAAATATTTAACTCCAACACCAGCAAAACAGACTAACAGGGTGACTACAGACTATCACAGTGTAACACAAGGGACACAATTTGAATCAAAGAATTGAAAAAGACTTCTGAAATGGATGGTTTTCATCTCAGAATGATATTATTCTGCTTTCTAACATGTTTTCTACATGTGAATGTACTCTCAACCTGGCACAAAGACAGCCTGGGCTCAAAGTCTTAACAGGAGCCTCACCATCTACTCATATTGCAAATTCAGCTATTTCTACTAACTTCTGAGTCAAGTACATATAAATAAACCTTCTCGTTTGTTTGCTTCAATGACACAACCACACTGTCATGACACACTTATTCCAATAGACACACTTGTTCCTCAAAGAAACAAGCCCTTCCTAACATTTATCCTTTCAATCTCACAAATGTACCTCACTCCTAAAGAGAAGTAACATTTAAAGAGAAATAATGAAGTAAAGCATGCTGGTGCACATCTGTAATCCCAACACTCAAAAGGCTTAGACAGGAGGATTATTATGAGTTCGAGGCCAGCATGAACTACAGTGAGACCTCATCTCAAATAACAAAAAATAAAATAAAAAGAGCAAGAAATAATGGTCGTCTTTTCACCAAATAAGAATTCAACAGAAATATGAGTATTGGCACAATGAATTAAACCCTAAGAAAAATATCAAATAGGAAGTACATTAAGGGTTTTAAGAATAGGCTGATTTAAAAAGAACAATATAAGACAAACTTTAGACTTTCAGCTGAACAAAAACTTAAATATTTTCTCTGGACTATATTATATAAGAATAAAATTACTATTTTAACTTACCATTCCACTGGAATTATTTATTCCATTCATATTAATTTTTGTTACAAATCTAACTGATGGAGGAGCTTCTGGGTATTTAGGTCCACATTCTACTTTCAGGCTATATATTCTGTTTTCATAATTTGTCTGGAAGAAAAAAAAGTCATAATTACAGTACCTAAAATAATAAAGAAAAATAAAATATGAAGGTACTTGCTATAAAAATGTTTATGACTAAGAATTACTTTTCTACATGCAGTTATTTGACTGACATGGTTAGGAAAAAATGTAGCAAGAATACTGAAAAGTAGAGATATTCTAAAATTAAAATAATTCTGCATACATCAACATGATCAAAACTTATTTTGTGGTACAAACAACACATATAACAAATTAAAAAGTAAAAGCAAACCCCTTAAATGTAGACTTTGCTAAAAAATTTACATTGCAAGCAGAGAAGTTATTTGATTTGTGTCACTTATACATGATGGTTTTCAATTTCTAGGGCACTCCTGCTTATCCCTATTGTCCCAGTATTCCTTATTGATAGTGCCTCTCTTCATTCTCAAAAGCATCTTGTTAAATAAAAAACTAAAGTCGCACTACTTATAAGGCAACCAATAACACATCTGACAGCAATAAAATGTAACTATTTCATAATCCTATTACTTATATTACGACCTTATTTATTTTGTAGCTTGCTGGGGCTGGGGATTTAGCTCAGGGGCACAGTGCCTGCCTGGCAAGCACAAGATTGTGAGTTCAATTCCCTGTACCGAAGAAAAACAAAAACAAACAAACAAACAAAAAAAAACTCTATTCTATTTTGTAGCTTGCTAAATCCCATTATCTGAATTCAAAGTTGGAACAGCAAACAGGGCCTTTGTACTGAACTACATTCCCAGTCCATTTTATTTTATGAGTTACCATCTCACTAAGACACTATGTTGCCCAGGGTGGGCTCAAACTTGTGATCCTCCTTCCTCAGCCTCCATGCTGAGATTACAGGTGTGTACCACCACACTCAGTGAAAATAAGTTTCTTTCTGTTGTTTTGTTTTGTTTTGTTCACACTTCAACAGTTTCCTAACATTACTAGCTTATATAGCAATCATTTTAAGCCCATGACTTAAAGCTTCTAGATTATTCCTATGCAAGTTTATCTTTATGCCTGTACTTTTCTTCTTATGGCTTTTGTTCACTTGATAAATTTACAATTTACTACTAAAACGGGAATATAAAAAATAAAGAGAAGTGACAAATTTAATACCTTTGATGGTTCCTGTGTAAACCATGGAGAAAAGAAGCTAACAGTCAGCAGATCTCCCTTAAACAAACTTATCCCTGTCCTATAAATAAAAAAGCTACTGCCAAGTGGAGTAATGTAAAATGTATGCAATAATCTGACACATGTTATTAAGTATTTCAAAATTTTGGAAAAGAAAGAGCTGATTAAAACTCATCCAAGTTTAGTAGCAAGCAGTAATATGACCTGCAATTTGGATAATATACAATAACGACTAAAATCAGATCTCATGACATTATCTTGTTTGAAGTTCTCCATTCTGAAGTAACATCAGACTCTAAAGACCTTATATTTAAAAAGAAAAAAAAACAGTTCTCCCAGCTCTGAATTTCTGTAATGTACTTGATGTATTTGCAAACAATCACAACTCCCATATTCTGCTGGAGGTGAGGAATGGCCCAATTTAGCCCTTTTTTAGAAAAATAAATAACCAAACACATAGAATGCACCAATTCCATTCCCATGCATTTGCCCAAGAGAAGCAAAAAACTAACATGTGCACAAAAGGACTTTCACAAGAATGCTCATAGTAATTTTATTTGGAATAGCCAAAAAGATAAACTCCAAATGCTCCTGAACAACAGAACTGATAAACATATTACCATATATCCATACAATAAAAGACTACTTAGCATTAAAAACAAACATACTCCTGTTCCCTGTGACAACATAACTGAGTCCCTTAGACATGCTGAATAAAGAAGCAGAACCATCAGTATACAAACTGTATGATTCCACTTATCAAAGCGGAACTTTCTAGAACTATGCTCAACACTATGCTCTAGTACTAGAAGGAGGGGTGGGGTGGAGAAGGGCACAGGGAACTTTCTACAGTGAATGAAATATTCTGTACCTCAATAAGGGGTAGGTAACAGGTATATTTGTCAAACTCATGGCAAGTTCTAGACATTTTACTATATGTAAATTCTTCCTGGTGGCCACTCCCTGTATCTTCAGATCCCCACGGGAGCTAGGCTGAACCCCAGACATCATCAGGAATGCTGGTGAGCCACCCCCGCACCTCCCACACTAGTGGGTGAGGCAGGTAGAGCCCGGACACCTTCTAAGGCCTCAGTGGTCACTCCCAGCACAACCTGCACCCCTGTGGGACCCCAGCTGAAACCCGGACAGTCAGCAGCCTTGAGGACACCACCCTCACCCCTCCCCTTCCAGCATGGGAACTGGGCTGGGTCCTGGGCAACATCTGAAGCCTCGGTGACCACAACCTGCATCTCCCCAAACCTTGTGGAAGCCAAGCTGAACCCGAGACAGCTTCAGATCGCCAGTGAGTCTCCCTCACCCCTCCCACACCAGAATGGGAGCCAAATGAATGCAAGAAAGTTTCGTGAGCATGTGGGACCCCATCTTGCCCCCATATACCAGAACAGGAGCCACACTGAGCACTGGGGATCTTTGGACACTCACCCTGCCACTCCTACACAATCGCGGGAGTGACACTGAGCTCCAGGGAAACTCTAGATCTTTAAAAATCACAAAATGAAGGAGCAAACTGCAATCTCAGACCTCTACACCACCTAAAACAAGTCCAGGAGACATCAACACAGAAGAGCCTGAAAGTCAGACACCTGAAATTTGTGAAATGATAGCAACTGAAGTAAAGACACAACTCCATCAGGCCATGGAAGACATCAGATCAGAAATAATCTCTCACAGAAAAAAAGAAAATGGCAATAATGATAGAATTATTCAAATATCCAAAGAAGGCAGTGACAAGAACATAGCGGGGCACAGACAACTCATGGAAACCTTGAGAGAACAGTATAGAAAAGAACTAGAATGCATGACACAGATTCAAACAGATATCCAGGAAATTAAAAATTCCATGGAAAGCTGGGAAAACCACCTGAAAGAAGCTAAAGATAGATTTTCAGACCTTGAAGAGGGCACTGCCGCTAACAAATGTGAAAGGAAGGATCCCTTAAAAACAACAAGGAACCAAGAAATAACAATTTAACAACTGTAAGATGAAGCAAAGAAAAACAATCTAAGATTAATAGGTATCAATGATACAGTAGGTGTCAATACAAATGACATAAAAGGACAATTTGCAGAAATAATAGCAGAAAATTTCCCAGGCATGGAAAAGCATTGGACATACAGATAAGTAAAGCACATAGAACTCCAGTTAACCATAACCAAAATAAATCTACCCCCAGACATATAGTGATCAAGATCCAAGAAACTCAACAAAAGATCAGAATATTAAAAGCTATTAGAGAAAAGAAACAGATCACTGATAAAGGAAAGGCCATCAGAATCCTGGCAGATTTCTCAACACAAATCATCAAGTCAAAAAGAGCTTGGAATGAAGTATTTGAGGCACTGAAAGAAAACAACTTCCAACCCAGACTGACGTACCCTGCAAAAAGACCCTTCAAATTTAATGGAGAAATAAAATATTTCCACGATAAAGAACAACTGAAGAAATTCATGACTGCCAAACCAATCCTATAGAAAGTACTAAAAGAATCCTAGAAAGAAATAAAACAGACCACAACTTCAAGAACAACAACAGAAAGGAACAACAAAGCAGAGCAAGCAATTAAGCAGAGGGAAAAAGGAGGCCCCAACAGCAGGAAAAAAACATGACAAACATAAGCCAATACATATCCGTTATAACCATCAATGTAAACGGTCTCAATGTTCCAATCAAAAGAAGCAGACTGACAGAGTGGCTCAAGAAACAAAATTCAACAATATGCTGTAAACAAGAAACACATTTAACTCAAAAGGAAATTCACAGACTGAAAATTAAAGGATGGAAAACAATACTCCATGCGACAGAAACCCAGAAAAAAGCGGGCATAGCTATCCTGTTTGCAGACAATGTAAACTTCAAACCAAGAACAATCAAGACATAAAAAAGGTCACTGCATACTTGCAAGGGGAAAACTTCAAGAGGAAGAGATAACTATCATAAACATCTATGCACCAAATATAGGAGCACCCAACTATACAAGACAAATTTTAACAGACATGAAAAATCAAATAAGCAGCAACACAATCATAACAGGGGACCTTAACATACCATTATCACAAAGAGAGAGATCAACTACACAAAAAATCAGCAAAGAAATAACAGAACTTAACCAAACTTGTGAACAAATAGACTTAGTAGACCTTTATAGTGTTCCATCCCACAGCATCAGAATACACATTCTTTTCAGCTTCACACTGGACATTCTCTGAAATAGACCATATGTTAGCACACAGAACATGCTCTAGTAAATGCAAAGGAATTGAAATTATTCCATGCATACTATCAGACCATAGTACAATGAAATTAGAAATTAATGACAAAAGAAATCACAAAAAGTCCATAAACACGTGGAAATTAAATAACACCCTCCTGAACAACCAATGGGTCACAGATGAATTCAAAGTAGAAATTAAACACTATCTACAATCAAACAAAAATGTAGATACAACTTACAGTAACCTGTGGGACGCAATGAAAGCAGTCCTCAGAGGGAAATTTATAGCGGTAAATTCCCACCTCAGGAAAACAGAACGAGCACAAATAAACAATATTATGCTGCATGTCAAGTTTGCAGAAAAAGAAGAGCAAGTCAAACCCAAAGCCCAATGAAGACAGGAAATTATAAAGCTCAGGGCAGAAATTAATGCAATGGAGACTAAAAAAACAATACAGAGAATTAAGGAATCAAAGAGTTGGTTCTTTGAAAGAATAAATGAAATAGATAAACTCCTAGCCAACCTTATCCAAAAAAAAAGGAAAGAAAAAACTGAAATACATGCAATAAGGAATGAAAGGGGTGAAATTACTACAGATCCTGTGCAAATTCAGAAGACTATCAATA